AGTTGAACAGGGTTGCAGACTTACCTTCAATTTACCTACTTACCTTCCGCTTGAAGTTTATTTAAGTAGCTATGGATTATACTCGTAAGGTGTATTACAACTGGTGCAGCACCTTGGGAAATGTCTTCTGTTCTGTCCTCTCTGTCTCTCTATCTATCTATTTACCTATTATATATCTATTTATCTCTCTATCTATCTATCTATGTATTTATCTCTCTCTCCCTATCTCTATTTATCTCCTCTCTCTCTCTCTCCTCTCTCTCTCTCTTCTCTCTCTCTCTCTCTCTCTCTCCTTCTCTCTCTCTCTCTCTAATCTATCTATCTATCTATCTATCTCTCTTTTATCTTTTTCTTTTTATCTGGATGACGTACTGAAGAGTTAAATTTTTTTTTTCTTAACTCAAGTTTTAAATACTGTAGTTTCGATTTTATATGCATGTACTGTGAGTTTGATGTTGTACTTATCTTTAAACACTTAAGTACTTAAGAGTTTAGAGATTTTATAAGTAATCTCTAAACTCTTAAGTAAATTTATCGCAGCAGTTACGTTTAAAATAAAAGTTTCAAATTGCTTTCTCTTGAACTCTTAAAAATCTTCAAACCGCTCGACAAGCTGTCGAAAAGCTGTTCCGCCGAGATCGGTCGATCGGTCCCCCCCATCGAATCGGCTCCTCCCCCGCATATTCGGCCTCCCTCCCCGCAGCCTGCCACCCCTCCCCCCCAACCCCCTCCTTCCGCTCTTCCAGCCGTGAATTCGCGAGGAAATCTTTGGCTCCACTTGCGGCCTCTTCCTCGGGCGGTCGCTTTTGTCTCCGGCTCTGCTTGCGATTGCCTGTTGATCATATTTTTGTTCCGCGGAAGGAAAACGTCGGTCTCGAGTCGATTGTTTTGTTGTTGTTGTTTTTTGAGAGAGAGAGAGACCAGAGGGTCGTTCGTTTCTTTCCTTTTCTTTTTTGTGCTTTATTGTTGTTGTTTTCATAGAGATAAGAGGGTCGTTCTCTTTCTTTTTCCTTGTTTGTCTTTGTTTTATTTTGTTTTTCATAGAGATAGAGGGTCGTCTTCTTTTCCCTTTCTTGTTTTTTTTTTCATAGAGATAGAGGGTCGTTGTCTTTCTTTTCCTTTTTTCTTTTGTTTTTTTGTTGGTGTTTTTCATAGAGATAGAGGGTCATTCTCTTTTTTTTCTCTCTCTCTCTTTGTCGCTGCCGTTGTAATGGTTTCTGTTCGTTGTCTGTCTGCTCTGTGTCTTCTCTCTCTCCTCTCTCTGTTCCCATCTCCTCTCTCTTTCTCTTAATCTCTCATCTCTGTAAATGTCTTCTCATCTCTGTATGTCTCTCTCCTCAATCTCTTCTCTCTCTCAATCTCCTCCTCCTCATCACTCAATCCTCTTCTCCGACCTACGATCCTCTCATCTCTTCATCTCCTCTCTCATCTCTTAATTCCTTTAATCTCTCTCTCTCTCTTCTCCTCTCTCTCTCTCTCCTCTCCTTACTCTCTAGTCTATCTAATCTATTACTACTCTCTCTATCTATCTATCTTCTAACATCTAATCCCATCTCTCTCTCCTATAAATCGTCGTCTGTGCCTGTCTGTCTCATCTCTCTGATCACCATCGTCACATGCCCGTCCCAGATCCCGGTATCACGACACTCCCTACGCCCTAAATCCCGCCTCCTCAACAACTCCATTCTCCCTCCCACCATCTCCGTACCCCTCGTTCATTCGTTACTCGACATCGTCAACTCCCTCACCTCCCTCTCACCTTCCATCTCTCTCTCTCTGATTCCTCCCATCCCATCGACCCTCACCTAATCCGTCCTCTCTTTCTCTCTCTCTCTCCACTCCCTCCTTCCTTCCCTCTCTCTCTCTTCTCCCTCCCTTGTCCTCTCTCTCCTCTCACAAGTCGACGCGATCCTTCGCCGCCCCTCTTCCTATTTTCCGGCTATTCGTACTCAATCCTTCTCAACATTACTTTTTCCGTCGGAAGATCCTCGGGTCAAGTCCTGGAGTCGAGATTTCCCTGCTGTACTGGTCAAGCAGACGAAATACCCGAGCGAATGGTTGTTCCGACTCTCTTCTCTCTCTCTCCCATCAGGTCAATCTTCTTCATCGTCGAGGAGGAGGGAGCGGCTCTCCTCACCGTCATCTCCGATCCTCCCGCGTACAGCCCAAGTGGCTGCTCTCCATCCACCTCCTGGATCTCGTCTGTGCTCGGTCTCCTCTCATTCTCTCTCTCTCTCTCTCTCCTCTTCCCATCTCACCTCGCCGTCTCCCTCCACCTTCCCCTCCCCCTCTCTCTCTCCATCCTCTCTCCCTGTCCCACTCCCCCCTGTCGTTCTCTCCCCCCTCGCCTTCCCCCCGACGGTGCGCTCTGTCCCCCCCCCTCCTCTCAGATCGACCGCCTCCCCCTCCTCCTCGTCCCCCTTCCCCCCCCATCTCTCTCTCTCTTTCATCTCTGCATGACCGCTACGCCATCCTTCCGCTCACGCCTCTCCCTTTTCTCCTCTCCTCGTACTCCATCTCCGTTCTCTTCCTCTCATCGACCTCTCCTCTGCGGCTGGGATGTATGTATAGTTTTATTATGTGTATTTCTCTCAATACTACATTCTCCCCTCTCTTCCTCTCTCCTCTCATCTCGCGGTTCTGGCTTTTGTAGGCTTTACTAGATTATGCTGTTATCACACCCAGTCAGGTGCATATATGGTATAATTCCTGCTCTCTCTTCCTCTCTCTCCTCTTCCTTTGTTTCTTTACCATCCTTCCTCCCTTCCCTTTCTTTACCCTTCTCTCTCTCTCTCTCTTTCCCCTCCCCTCCCTCCCTTCCTCCTCCGGCTCCATCTTTCTCTCTCTCTTCTCTCCTCTCTTCTCTCTCCTCCTCTCTCCTCTCCTCTCCTTCTCTCCTTCTCCTTTCTCCTTTCTTCTCTCTCTCTCTTCCTCCCTCTCCCTCTCCCTTCTCCCATTTCTCCCTGCTCTCCTCCCTCTCCCTCTCCTCCTTCCCTCCCTCCCTCCCTCCCTCCTCTCTCCCTCCATTCTCTCTCAAATTCTCTCGTTCCCTTCTCTCCCTGTTGTTAGCATCCCTGATGCTTTCATTGGCGGAAAAATTCCTAATCAAATATCCACCTCGTCTCTGAATGCCACGTTTTTCTGCTGACGTGTCTGAGGAGATTCCTTGGGGTTTTGTTGTTCCGTCCGGTCAGCGAGGGGTTCTTTCTTGCGGCATCTTGGGGAGGCAGTCAAATAAGGTAAGGAACGGGTTTTGTGCATTATGAGAGGGAAACAAAGTTGTTTGTATTTTTTTTTTCGGTTTGTTTTTAATTTTTTATTTTATATTTTCTTTCTTAAAAGGTTCTTACCCAATTCTCTGTTTTTTTTTTTTTTTTTTTTTTTTTTTTTTTTACGATTCTCAGTGTCATTAAGCATTATCTTTCCCCTAACTGTTGCACTTACGAATAAGTATGAACTGATGTTTATTTGGTCCTTACATATTATCAGATAGACATTTATTGAATGATAGGTAACTACAATGCAAACAAGATATTCTTTTAAAACGAATATCTCATGTTGAAGCTATTACTGGGAGAAAAGAAATTATCTATTCTGATTTCCAAGAATTGAAGAAATCAAATAACTAACAACATAAGAAGTCCCTTTGGTATGTACTTTTTCTTATATAGGACCAGAAAGCCCATGAGACTACTGAACATACTGCTGAACAACATACACACCATTACACACACACACGCACACACATACACACACACACACACACACACACACACACACACACACAGCACACACACACACACACACACACACACACACACACACACACACACACACACATACACACACACACACACACACATGAAGTATAAAAACCTTGAATTATTTCTTCTTAGCTTTCTCTCGTTATATGGGGTCGCCGTTATGGATAAGCCGCCTTCACTAATTTTCCTATTACGGCTCATTCCATAGTAGTTTTGGCAATATGGAAATAAAAGCAAAAATCATACGGGAATATGATGAAGCTTGTTTTGCCTTTGTGTTGTTTATTGGCGTGTTCAGACAATTCAAGCAATTTTTAATAGAACCTCTAGATAGTTTATTATGTAGATTTACTGGAAACTATTAATTCATCAAAGTTATTTGCATATGTGTAAACTGTCCCTTAGAATTGTATCAATACGAGGTGAAGCAGCCAGTCTCATCTCATGTATTTACATTGTGTATTTTACCTAAGATGTTGCTTGAACTTAGAAACAAACCATTAGAAACTGAAATCCAAATGTGTGTGTGTGTATGTGTGCGTGTGTGTGTGTGTGTTTGTGTTTGTGTGTTTGTGTGTGTGTGTGTGTGTGTGTTTTGTGTGTGTGTATGTGTGTGTATTTGTGCGTGTGTGTGTGTATCGAAGCCTATATATACATATGAAGCTTAGGAAAAAGGCATTTATATTGTAGTACTAGTATTTCACGCGTCATTGTGTTTCTTCCATTGGTGAGGAGAGGGACGGATGTGTCTCTCGGTGGAGTTGATGGAACTGATCACTGAAGTTTTTCACTCCTTTTTGCATCTCTGTTTTTCTGCGGGTGTCTCCTCGGCATGACGCAGGAAATTGAAGACGTTTTTAGCTCTTCTAAGGAAATCACATTTAATCATCCGAACTACTGGTACTTTCATGCAAAAATCATATTTTTTCAATTTGATTAACTTGTGAATATATACATTAAAGCAAACACACACACACTTACACTCACAAACAAACAAACAAAGAAAAACATACACACACAACACACAAAACCAAATAAAAATAAACACACACAAACAATCAAACAAAAACAAACACACACACACACACACACACGCACACAAACACACACAAACGCCATCAATGTATTTGTACGAAAGCGGGGAGGAGAGCCCTTATCCTCAACCCCATATTAACCCCTGAAATGCTGCTGCAGGAGAGCTGAACGAGCGGTTCGCGGCGCTGCAGAAACAGGTGGTGGACCAGTTCAACGTCCTGCAGTCGATGGTGGTCAGCATCGAGGACCAACTCAGGACCCAAGACAAGCAGATGAAGAAGCACCACAGCAAGCTCAGGCAAGCCATCGGCAGTATGAGGTGAGCAAACATTACCTATGACGAGATCTGGGGGAGGTGGGTCGTCCTTGGAAATGAGGACAAGGCTTACCTATGGCGAGATCTTGGGGAGATCTTGGGGAGGTGGGTCGTCCTTGAGGCTGGAAGTGGGGACAAAACCTTGCTATGACGAGATCTTGGGAGGTGGGTCGTCCTTGGAAATGAGGACAAGGCTTACCTGTGACGAGATCTTAGGGTGGGTCGTCCTTGAGCTGGAAGTGGGGACAAGCTTTGCCTATGACGAGCTCTGGGGAAGTGGGTCGTCCTTCAGCTGGAAGTTGGGACAAGGCTTACCTACGACGAGATCTGGGGGAAGTTATAGGTAAGACGTCCTTGAGCCGGAAGTGGGGACGTCATCAGCCAGCACCCTGTTCTCAGCGACACAAGAACGCTTACCAGAAATTAAACCTGCAGGCGTTTCTCCCTCCCTATATTTGTTTTAATTTCCTATATATACTGACTGAATTATTTCGGGATGTTAGGCTATTCAAATATATATATATATATATATATATATATATATATATATATATATATATATATATATATATATATATGGTAATTTTCTATATTACGTCCGCATAACCGATATCGACGATTTTAGTATCGTTGGATTCCTCTCACTGTCCACATTGCAATTATATAGATTTTATTGCGCGGAAACCCCCCGTTAGTGACAAACTTGGCCCCGATAGCAGGGGAGTGCATGAAAGGTTCCAGGGAAAATGCGGGGTTAAATAGCACTAATAATATAACGCACAGTGAAAATAACCATAGTTATTCACATAACTTTCCATTGCAGCCCCCGCCGAAAAAACAAAACCTCTACCACGTATTCCCGGCAGGCTAGAGCGTTACACAGTTATCGGCAATCTCGGAGCGGCGGACGTATTACATTTACCCCGTAACATTCCTACTGAATCAGCATACTAACCTTGACATAGTCAGCATTGTATACAGAGACGATTGTAGTATAAACAGGATGAACAAGGTATACCATGAACAGAAGAGCGGCGGTGGCCCGCCCTCGTCGGGTCGGCGGGTTTTGCGCCTTTTTCGATGCATCTAATTCGTGTGCGCTCTATCCTGCGACCCCCTAGTGGGTCGCAGGGGGCGCAGCCTCCTGCAATGGAAAGTCATGTGAATAACCATGATTATTTTCACTGTGTTATATTATTAGGGTAATTTTTATATGTTACGTCTGCCGCTCCGACATCGTCGCCCCCGCTATCGGGGCCAAGTTTGTCCCGGACAAACTCATTGTATAGAGTGAGAGGAATCCAACGATACCAAAATCGTCGACATCGGTTATGCGGATAATATAGAAAATTACCATATATATATATATATATATATATATATATATATATATATATATATATATATATATATATATATATATATGGTGAGGTGCATGTGACATACGTATATAGATAAATATGCATGTTTGTGTATAAAAAAGGACAACGATACAGATACACTGATATATACATTTGCAACACAGTCTCCGTCACCCACTTGCATGAGCCTCAAGACCTTCAGAAAACGAGCCTCTTACCCTGATCCTTGACCCGACCGGCCTTTCCCAGGGGCGGCTCGGAGGGCGCGGACGAGGCGGGGCGCGGGATCGACTTCTTCGACGACCTGGACGACCTGTCCGCCGGCGACGAGGAGGATTACAGCCTCAGGGACAACGTAGGTCGGCGGTCATGTGTGTGTGTGTGTGGTGGGTGTGTGTGTGTGTGTTGTGGGTGTGTGGGTGGTATGTGTGTGTGTGGTTGGGGTGGGTGTGTGCATGCGTGTGTGTGGTGTGGTGTGTGTGTGTGTGTGTGTGTGTGTGTGTGTGCGTGCGTGTGTGTGGGTGGGTGGGTGCGTGTGTGGGGGGTTAGGTGCGTGTGTGTGTGTGTGTATGTATACATATGCTTATATATTTATGTGTATATGTGAGAGAGAGAAAAATAAATGTTTGTACATCCCTTTTTATTTGTTCGTCTGCATATCTGCTTATCTTTTCGTTTCTATGTGCATCTACTTTTCTTTTTGTTGTTTTCATATCTGTATTGTTTGTTTGTATATGCCTTTCAGTTTGTTTATCAGAACATGTCAGTGTATTTGTCTGTATATTTGTTTATTTCAGTCCTGTTAAATTGCTTCTACATCTCTCCATTTTTATTTGTTTTTACATATATCCATCTTTCAGTTGGCTTATTTGCATCTGTCGCTTTGTGGATTTTTGTTTTTATGTCTTTCTGTTGATTTGTTTGTAAAAGCGTCTCTTTGTTCATCTGTTCATTTGTTCATCCTCGTTCATCATTCTTCATCTCTTTCGTTGTTGATTGGTCTGCAAATCTCTCTCTCCGTTAATCTGCATACATTTCTGTTAACAAATTTATCGTTCTGTTTCTTTCTGTTCATGTCTAGATACCCCTCTATGTCTGTTAATTCGTCTGTACGTTTGTGTCTGTTGGTTTATGTGATTTCCCGATGTCTTCTGCACATCTATTTTTTTTCTGTTGGCTGTTTGAACATGTTTCTCTGTTGGTATGTCTGTACAACTGCCTTTCTGTTAATATTTATATGTATTCATTTCTGTTGGAATTGTAAATCCGTCTATCTAATTTGTCTGCACATCTCTTCCCGTTCATTCGTCTGTGCCCCTGTCTTTGTAGAAATATTTACAAATCTGTCTTCCTAATTTGCACATCTTTCCGTACACCAGTCTCTATTATGTCTGTAAATCTGTCTTTTTAATCTGCACATCTGTCTTTAAGGTATTCTTCCCGTGCACCAGTCTCTTTTATGTCCACAAATCTGTCTTTCTAATCTGCACATCTGTCTTTAAGGTATTCTTCCCGTGCACCAGTCTCTATTATGTCCACAAATCTGTCTTTCTAATCTGCACATCTGTCTCTAAGATATTCTTTCCGTGCACCAGTCTCTTATGTCCGTCTTTCTAATCTACATCTGTCTTTAAGGTATTCTTCCCGTGCACCAGTCTCTTTATGTCTCTCCTAATCTGCACATCTGTCTCTAAGATATTCTTCCGTGCACCAGTCTGTCTCTGTCTGCACATCTGTCAAGTATTCTTCCCGTGCACGTCCTCTTTTATGTCCACAAAATCTGTCTCCTAATCTGCATCTGTCTCTAAGATATTCTTAAGTCTCGTCTGTAGGTCTCTCGCTTCCTTCTCTCTCTCTCTCTCTCTCATGCTCTCTCTCTCTCTCTCTCTCTCTCTCTCCTCTCTCTCTCTCTCTCTCTCTCTCTCTCTCCCTCTCTCTCTCTCTCTCTCTCTCTCTCTCTCTCTCTCTCTCTCTCTCTCCCTTCTCTCTCTCTTTCTCTCTTTAACATCTGCGTCTCTTGATTCCCTCCAAATGTGTCTCTTCTTTGCTTTGTCTGTACATGTCTCTCAGCTGTTTTGTCTATAAATCTGCCAGCATGTCTGACCCTCTATTAAATTGTTTTTACATATGGTTCTACACATCTGTATATCTGAATGATTTCTCTGTATATCTGTTTATTTGCTGACCTGTCTACACATCTGTCCCTCAGTCGATTTGCCTGTATATATGTTTTTAGATTTAGATTTGGTTTTAATTCCATTTGTTACAATGCATATTCTTTGCTATGACATACGTCTGTTGGTCCTGTATAGATGTCCCTGTGTTGGTCCTGTATACAGTATATGTCCCTCTGTTGGTCCTGTATAGATATCCCCCTGTTGGTCCTGTATAGACGTCCCCCTGTTGGTCCTGTATAGCTGTCCCTCCGTTGGTTAGTCTGCACTGCTGGCTTTCAATTGATTTGCAGCGAAGTCCGTAAGCCTTGCCGCATGCCCTAATGTGTGCTGCAGTCGCATTGCTGTGTCAACATGAATCACGGGGAGGTCAGAGACCCGATGACAATAGTTCAGCCATTCATCGAGGACGGCGCTCGCTCCCGTGGCCTCTAGTGTAATAATGCACAAGGGCGGAAATTCAGTTCTGTTTGCCAATACAGCCACTGATCTGGACACGTTTGGTGTAAAAGCAACAAGGATCGACAAAGGAATTCTAGAGGAAAGGAAAAGTAAAAAAACAAAAACAAAAAAAGTATTTCGCTGTCAATAGGTTTTTTGCGTCACATCTCTCAATAGTAACTGTTAATGTGGGTTCGAGAGTTCGTATGCGTGTATTAGAGAGCGCACGTGTGTGAGTGTTCTCGTAACAGATAAAATGGAAAAATATAAATTAGAAAACGCATGCATGCTGGCGTTTGGTTACATGGCAGTAAGGGCTTAAGCCTGTACTCCAGCAGAATGAATATTCAATTCTTTTAACATTGAAATATTCAAATGCTCTTTCAAATTTACAAATCCAAGGATTTCAATTTTAATTTTGCCAAAAGGTGTAAAGGGATTAGTAAAGATTAAAAGTACTGCATGTGCCAGTCTGCTTATAACAATTTTTAATACTTCAAAATTGATCAAATAACTCTCTCTCTCTCTCTCTCTCTCTCTCTCTCTCTCTCTCTCTCTCTCTCTCTCTCTCTCTCTCTCTCTCTCTCTCTCTCTCTCTCTATCTCTTCTCTCTTCTCTCTCTCATCTCTATCTATCTCTCGCCCTCTCTCTCTTTCTCTCTCTCTCTCACCTCTCTCTCTCTTTTCCTCCTCTCCTCTCCCTCTCTCCCCTCACCTCTCTCCACCCCCCCCCCCCCGTCACGTGCCCCCCAGGGTGAGGTGGTGAGCCCGCGAGACACCGAGATCGACCGCTACAACTCGACCATGCACCAGGAGGACGGCTGGAGGGTCTTCACCTACTACTGGCGAGTCCGTGACATCAACTACAAGATGAGGAACTGGGGTGGGCGTCGCTCCCTCCGGTCCGAGA